AAGGTAGCAATGATCCTATTCACTGCCTGGCACAGTTGCAGTACTGTTTTGTAACTCATTTAAAAAAAAAATACCAAACCTTTTGAACTACTTTAGCACATTTTGAGAGATTAATTTGTTTTCAGAGGATAGGAAAAAGCCATGAGTGTGAAGGCCTTCATAAATATACAGTACCATTACTAGTCCTTAAATCTGATTATGAATAAAGAAAATAAATAAGAATAAAAAAGAATAAAATATCCTGGTAAATAGACACTCTTGGTTTTTCAGCATCTTCACACACTGCAGTATTCCTGCTGATGATGCTCTGGATACAAGATACATGTTCAGCCTTGGCTAGCTGTGCTATAGTGAAATATCCCGAAGTAGATCAGCCTGCTCTGCAGCAAATTATATAACTTTAGAGGTGTTGAGGATTTCAGCTAATTTAGGAATACCTTCATGTAGTTATCACTCCTACAGATCAGACCAAAGGTTCCTCCAAGTTCAATTACATCAAATTAAGATGCCATTTTTGAAAAGGCAGGTCTTAACTGTTTTTATTTCCCCACGGGTTAAATGTGGTATTACTTATGGTCAAATTTGTATTCAGTGAAGTCTGTGATTCTGAGATACCAGTGGTAACAACAGAAATGCCAGTTGACAGAGTAGCTGTAAAAGCATTATATCTTTCAAGTTGTGCCTGGTATGCTGATGCAGAGTATACAGTGTAAAATATGAGTAGTTTCACTGTATTTGTAGAAACAATGTTTTTCTGTTACATGTACCACATTTCAGCCCAATTTTAGGTTTCTCCCAAACTTAACCTTCTATTTTTAGGGGCAGATGATTCTAGAAAGATGAGCTTAGGAATTTAAATAATATTTCTAACAAAATGTTCAATTAAATTTCTTTCTGCAGTTCTTGGCTGAAGACTATACCTTAACGGATGTGCTCTGCTATGTTACACGAGATGATCTGAAATGTTTGAGACTGAGGTAATGCTCCACAGTTAAATGAACTGTGCTTTGTAAAAATAAAAATTAACTGATACTAAGTCTCAATTTATTGCTTTGTGTTCTATTAATTTAAGTGACACTTTCTAGTATGTCTTCAGATGCTGATACATTTTTGCCAAACAGCTGATGCTGTTTAAATCTTGAAATAAGGTGGGGTTTTTTTTATTGAAGGCAAAATTTTAAGGTTTTTATTTATTTACCTTATTACTGGAGACCCTGGATATTCCATTACAGCCTTGCTTTTATTTAGAAGAGTAGAACTAGAAAAACTTTCAGTAGTTTACTATCATCATCAAACTTCAGAAACATTACTCATGACCTGTAAGTAACACTACATTCCACCTAATCATGCCAGGTGTATAGGTCACCAACTCGCATCATGTTGGAAGTCAGATGTGGGTTATGCGAGTCCTTTGGACAGGAGTCTGAATTCCAGACAGCAGGCATCTGCCAAGTGCAAAGATTGCCCTGTCCTGTAATCAGAAAAGGACTCTGTTCTCTGTTTGAGTAATGCATGTTGAATTTCACCTTTGATCAGCCTCAGCATTCCCACTGAATATCATTGATCAAAACCAGAGCAAGAAAATCAGAAAGCACCTCAATTGGAAGGCTTTCAGGCAAGAGAGTATCTTTGTACCTGAGTGTCTTTATGATTTCTCTTTACAGAGGAGGAATGCTGTGCACACTCTGGAAGGCTATCACTGACTTTCGAGAGAAACACATCTGACATGGATATTTTTCTTTGCTTCTCTGCAGAGATGAAAAGATTTCCTTTCAGCCAGAGCAGGTGTGCTGTCAGAAGGACTGTTGCACTTTAATCCAGTATTTGTTTACCAATGTTAAAAACACTGCAGCTTCCTGACTGCTTTTACTCCTATAATCCATAAGGCATCTGTAAACAACCTGCAACTTTATTTTACTTTAAAGGTTTTTACATGCAAGTTTTTCAAAAATTTTTAGAAAACATACACGCAGAAGTTATAAACTCATGAAATATTGTACTTAAAGTAAGCAGATGTTAATTTCATGACAAATTGATGTAAGATTTCATGTAACAGTATATCACTGGAACAAAACCAAAATGTGACAACAACTTTTCAATTTATTTGTAATATATCTCAATATTATCTGTCGTAGAGCTTCATAATTTCAATCATAATTAGATATTTTTCTTTTAGTGTGCAAGACCTAAAGCTAATTGTTTTTACCTACCACCCTACATAGTTTAATATTGTTTATTTTTTGGTAATTTAAGTTCTATGGTGCATTTGTTTTAGAGTTGTTTATGTACTACTGAACTGTACCAGTTGTATACGCCTGAACCACAGTAATGTTAGCTTGTTCTAAAGCTATCTCTGACATACACAATTGAAAATAAAAATAACCTAACACTTACTCCTTGCTATATTTTTGGACTTCTAAAATAATAACAATGGTGTAGAACTGAAAAATATTGGAATAAAAAAAAAATTAATACTGAGTATCAAGGGAACCTTTCTGATACATCTTAAACTTACTGTGATTTGAGTATGATAACCATAGTCTTGAATATTTTCTTGGTTTTTCTGTCCAGGCTAATTCCTGTACTAACAAGCCAAGACCAAACAAAATTCTTCTCTGAGTGCTGTACTTGACTTGAGAAATGAAAAGTCCTGCCTCCATGCACTGAAGAGTCACTGTGACCTGCTGTTTCTTCTGCTTTTGTTTATGCAATGATTTTTTTCTCACATGTAATGAAAAAGGGTGGTGGGTATTCCCTGTCCAGTCACTGTCGTTGTCACTCCACCATTCTAGCACTGGGCATCAACAGATTCTTCTGGGCAGCTACAAAAAATTCCATTGTAGGTAAGGCTTGCCTGGACAAGAAGCTGCTTCTTTCTTCATAAGCCTTGGTAACCAGTAAAAGGCTTATGCTCTTCATTTTTCAGGTCTAGCAGGTATTTTCAAAGAAAACTAAATTTTTGTTTCAAACATAAACATGTTGTCCTAACACGTATACAGTAACTTTTGCTGCCTAGAATGCAACAATTATGTATTAAAAAAATAAGATAAAGGACAGTAGATTAAATCATTTTAGTCAGATTTTTTTTATTATTATTCTGAAGATGGTTCTACTGACTTGTAGGTGCAGATGTATTCAGTTCCTTCCAAAAACTTCATGGCATTTCATGAGAAGCACAGCTACTGTTTATTAATTTCTACTGCTATTATAGCAGAAAACAATACATTTTCAACACTAGAAAGACTAGTGGTGGGACCTGACTTGTAAAACCCAAAACTTAAAAAAGACTGTACCTATTGAGAAGCAACCATAAGAATGAACTTTCCTAATTTGATTTTTGTGTGAAGCGTTGGTTCAGCTTTTAAAACCTCTGGTTTCATGCAGTATAACTGGAAGGTAATTGCATTGCTCTGTTTACTTGGAAAGCATGCAGCCTGTTCTCTATGACTCAGGCTGCTCAGAAATGCCAACTATGTAAGGCAGAAAGAGTGTGATCGAGGTTTCTGTTGAATGTCTCCATGAGACCTAGCCTGGCACCAGCTGGGAATTAATTCCTATAGCTCTTTGCTGGCTTCATCAGACTCGAGGTGGCTTCTTCAGAATTGCTCAGCAGTCAGTTCTGTATTCTTCATGGTGAGACTCTGTTGGATCTGATCAAGGGACAGGCCATGTGCACTTATGCTCCTCCACCAATTCTGGTCTGAATGTAGTCCCTGAGCAGCACAGTTAATCCATACAGATCCTAGATCCTGTGCACAAAAGCTTATGTAAGGTCCCTACATCAGGCTACTCCATATAGAAGTACCAGATGTTACTTTTTACATCCTCAGACAAAACATGACATAACACTTTGGGATGGTGTGCATCAGAGAGGTCAGCCTGGGATTCTTCAGCCTGGCTCCCAGACTTTGCTGGTGGGTGGGTGCCTACATGGACCACAACTGAGGGATCTGAGAGTACGTTAGTGCAGGATTTTGCTGAGGGCAGCATTCTGACCATAGGGCATACCACTGGGTCTGAACTTGGATAACCTCTTAGTCCTTGGTTAGTGCTGTTGTAATCCAGGGCTCAAGCTGACTGAGAGCTGCCTTTACACCTCCCTTAAGAGAGCAGACAAGTGAAAACTCAACCAAGGCAATGCTGATTTTGCTGTCTTTTGCACCTTTCAGCATAGAGCCCAGCCTATTCTTCTATTGCAGACACTCCCCTGCCTACAAGCCACAGGGTGTGTTTATCACCCAAGCCTCAAACTCCTTGTTTTAGACCACAAATGGCTCTCTTGGTGCAACAACAAAATATTAATCTTGCCTTCCCCTAGAAGACCTTGTGCTCTGAGCTTAGCAGTTTGTGAAAGGAGGATGCTGTGCGTGGTGGCTGAAGTTGGCTTGGTCCAAGCGCACCAGACTAAAGGAGCTGCCCCTCTCCACCTACTTGCCTGCATTCGCAGCTGCATCCTCTGAGTTCCCCAGTTCCCTCACCCTCCTTCACATGTGGTTCTGGTGATTGGTGCTACCTACAAGCAGATGCAAAATTAAATTACGTTCGGATGCGGACTTAGAACCCTTTAAACTCTCTTACGACACTGAAAAGCAGCATAAAGCAAGTTAAGGCAAAATCATAGGAAAGGTGACAGGACCATGACCTTTACAGAAGCGACTGCAACATCGACAGCTTTTCACAGAGCCACGTTTTTGGAAGCAAGGCGTTGCTCGCAGCTTTAAAACCGGCTGTTGAAGAGCACGTGCGGCAGGAAGGAGTCTACAGCAGTGCGGCTCTTTCCCACACGATGCGGCGCATCGCCTGGGCTTGCGAGGCGGCCGCCACTCCTCCCACCCACCTACTGTCGAGATGGCGAGCATCCCCAAACCTGTTGTTTCTCTCGGCTCCGGTACCGAACGAGCTGTGCCAATGAGGCGGGAGCCGCTCTGAAGAAAAAAAAAAATTAAAAAAAATTAAAAATATCACACCTGTGTGAACAGCGGCACCTCGNCTTGAGGTAGCGCCGAGCTCCCGCAGTCAGCGTGGGTGGATGCCCGCAAGACGCTGCTAATGCTAACGGGGACGGGGTGAGCCCCGGCGAGGGCGGAGGGACGGCTCGGCAGGGTCAAGGTAGCTGGTAGCAGCGCCCCGGCGCCTGCCGAGCGAGGCCGGCTGCGGGGCCCCGGGGTTTGGCTGCCCCTCGAACCCGTGCGAGCCTCGGGCTGCTGCTGCCAGCCCTTATTTCCTATAGGGAAAACGGGGAGATGTCCTTGCGTCTCCTCTAAGGAGGGATCTACACTGCCACGGCGTTTTAACTCGTTTTTATTTTGGCCCTAAGGGCGAGGAGGGTGCAGGGAGGAGATTTTGGCTTACGCAAGCGGATCGACCGCTGTATCGCTGTTGTAGGCGCGGATGCTGTTTGCTTTTGCTGCTTGCTGGGCTGTGAAGTCCAGACTAACTTTTAGTCCTCTCGGTTTTTCCTTTTATACCTTCTTCCACAGTCTCATTCCACTCACCCTTTGCTAGTCTTTCTCTAACATATGTCCGAGTTTATCTCTAAATCAAAGAGTGAGCATTTCTATCAAAACAGCATATGAATAGGCCATATGGCTGTTGGCTGATTGTGTTTCCTCAGTATAATATTTTTAATACATACTTTATGTAATGCAGACATGCAGCCACAAGCAATGACTGTGGGCAGACCCATCCAAGTGCTTTCTTCATTAGGCTTAGCAGTACAGTGATTTTGCTCAGAAATCCTTACAAGTCACTCCCAGGCATCACTAAAGTTCAGCTTCAGAATACGCATGTCTGCCTTCCTATGCATTGACTTCACTTTTCACAGGAAGAACTGACTGGGTTTTTTTTAAGCCATTTCTAACAAACTCTTCTTGAGTTCTCTACCTTACATTGCTGATGTGGGTTGTTTTTTACCTGGATTATCAGTCTATTTCTAGTTACTTACCAAAACTAGGAATGAGCCAACAGGTGACGTGTATTTCGCATATGTTCTGTTTTAAAAGGATTTATGTACCTAGTTTTATTCTGAGTTTGCTTTATAGCATCATTTCAAGCTGTTGTGCTGAACTTTTACTCATTGGGACATTTGTAGACAGAAGAATTTGCTTGCATAAGTTCTTGAGTATTTTGAATTTAAATTGCTTTGTGCTGTCAAAGTTCATTTGAAACCACTTTGTGAGTGAAATGTCCAAGTTAAACTTCAGTGAAGCTGTTTGTTGTCTGCTGAGATTCTCTCTCTGAGTTATCACAGGGGCTGGCTTGCAAGCATTCACAAACAGGAACAACCTCAAAGCACATCAGGGATCTGCTCTGTGGCTCTTTGGTCCATCCATGAGCTAGCAGATATGTGTGCCCAGGGAGGGCCATGCAGATGGCTTCGGCTGCAATCTGTCTGCTCCACAAGCAGAACACCTGTGTCTGGATCCGGCTCCTCAGGAAGGTCAACATCCCATCTGTGTTTGGTGAAATTACCTACTGGTTGAACTACTGCCTCTGTCGGAAAAACAAAGCTCTGTGTGTTGTGGTGTGTGGCTGTTTGTTTCTTTCCTTGCCTCCTGTGGCTACACAGATGGGCTTTTAGGGCTGATCCTGGGGAAAGCTTCAACATCACCACAAGGAATTTTGCAGGGAGATGTTCCAAATGGCTCCCTTTATTGGCAGATGGTCTGCTGCACCTAACTAGCTTTATCTGGGTAAATGGCTTAATTATCAGGATGAAGTTTCTGGGTTTGTTTTGTTTTGTTTTTTTATTTTTATTCTGCCATTCATAAATGTGTGAATAAAAATTAGTACAGTGCTCAGGGGATATACTAACTTATACCCATTAGAATTTTTCAGTCACAGCTACTCGAGCATCTAATAGTGCAAACAAGCTCTTCAGTGATTCCTGAGATGAGAGGGGCCCTCTTGTGGGGAATATCGAATGGAGAAGCTTCTGAGACACCTCATCTTATGGCTGCCCATCCATGAACATAGGCATGTCTCTGCCTGTGAGAGTTCCCCACGCGTGCTCGGGGCTGCTTTGGCCAGCTCTGTGCACAGGTAACAGTTTGCTTAAGCTCTGGAACACCAGAGAGGGCTGTGTGTTTGTAATGCTGCAGAGAAGATTTAATGCCATGTTTTTGTGTACTGTTCTAGTTAGATCTTTGTTCTAAGTGTGCTTAGTATTACTCTGTACTTTTTGCAGGAAAACAAATCTGCATTCTAAGTGATGTCAGTGCCAAGTGGCTTGTGAAAGCCGAACACTTGAGGTGTTCACTCTTTAACTGCTGATGGGACTTTATATCTGTTGTTTGCTTATCCTGGTATTTTCTCCATCTGAGAATAAATCAAATTTCATTTTACTCTGTTTAATTTTTTCCCAACAAACAGATAAATTGTTAGGGAAAGCACGAGAGTGCAGGAAGCAGTTGGTTGGGAGCTGGAGGTGTGCTCTTGCTCCTGTGGCTCTTCCCCAGCGGTGCCAGCGCGTTTTGCTGGGGAGGATTTACCCGGCGCTGCTGTGACACACGGGTTTTGTCTCTCTGCCCGGCTCAGGCCATTCACGTTCTTTCCAAGGGGAGCTGCCGGGTCACCGTGGCCAGCGGAGGGGATGGACATGCCCGTGTCACCGTGGGGATGTCCCGGGGCTCCAGCACAGCGGGACCGCCCCGGGCTCCTTCGCTCGCCCGCACCGCACAGAGCGGCTGTGGCAGCGCCAGGTGTGAGGAAACGGGGACTGCGAGGCTGTGTGCTCACAAATACTGCAAGTGTTCAGGCTTGTGTGTGGTGGGCGTGCTCTGATTTCCATCCCTGATTATCTATACGTTAGTACGTTGCGAATCCTTTCTATCTTTTAATATATAAATCGTGGATCTGCGATTCTTCTGTTGCCGCCTCCTCTCTGGTGAAAACCTATTCAATCAGAGCCCGTGATTATATTTTTGGTCCCACATTAACGATTTTTGAGGCAGTACTGAATGCACAGAGACTTATCAGTGCCTTGTAGAATGAAAATGATAGAACTAAATTAAATTTAGGTTAAAATCCTCATGGAAGCCATCCCTCAGCTTTAGAAAACTGTTCAAGTACTGTGTCTTGGTGTCTCTTTTTGGCCAAGTAATGTCTGTGCAGGTACTACACACCTTGGAAAGGTCTGAACGAGCCTTTTTATGTCTTTATTGTGTAATGGGAGCCAGGCTGTCTTTCTCCACCCACCTACGCCCAGCATTAGTAGTGTTAAAAAAAAAAAAAAAAAAAAAAAAGAGGTGTGTGTGTGAAACAAACCACAAGAAACACCACCTCAACAAAAAAAATCCAACTCTGTCCAAAAAAAAAAAAATCCCCCTCCCCAAAAAAATTCAAAGCCAAAGTAACTCTACACACACAGACCCAAAACCCCCAAGCCAAACACTGCCACAATAAATAAATAAATCTGAGTTTATGAAGAATCAGGCCTGTTAAGTCAAACAGCTGGCTTATGTGGTACTTCCAATACAGAACTTTTACTAATTTAGTTAAAGTAATAGGCATTGCTGTTTTCCTTAGGCTTAATTTTGAAAAGAGATGTACTTGTGCATGTGCTGTTTCAAGCTGCAAAAAGTTGTAAATTTACATTACTCTGAGATGGCTAATATTTTATTTGCATGATATATTATTATCCCAAATAAACAAATTTAATACTTTAGAGCTGAAAATTATTTGTGGTGTTAGAGGTAAATGATCAGAGCAATAATTGCCTCAATTATGTAAATACATATTATACAGTAAATACAATTATGTAAACACTATATAACCCTGCAACAACATACTTTCTTTTCCACTTGAAAAAAGTGTGTGTAAGTCTACATCCACAATACAAGCCACAGTGTGCTGCTGCTGCTGCTGTTGTTGTGCTAAGTGTCTTTGTGTATCTATCCTTCCTTCAGGAAAGGGGATCCCCTCTGTGTGACTTCCATTAGAGAAATGCAGTGGCCTGCAAGGAAGTATGGCAGAAAAAGCTATTTTTATATTATATTCCTTTTTAGGCCTTACACATATATGAGAAATGGTGTATTTGTGAAACTGGTTCAGGTTTAATTCTGCAGTTCTCCCTTAGTGTTGGTCCTGCAGTCATGCCATGTTTGTTTTCATAAAAACAAGTAGGCTTTGGGGAGAATGCTTGAAAATATGTTGTAGGAGATCTGTCAGAGTTCAAGGGAAACAACTCTAAGTTGTCTGCTAAGATGACATGCAGGACTCAGCTGCCTTGCTGTTCAAATAAATGGGGTTAGAAACCCTGACTCTTGTTGACAATGAGATTCTTCAGGGAGGTGATGGAATGATTTGTGCTCCAGAAGGAGAGTCACTGTGAGACTCCTGAGGGGAGAAATAAAGTACTGATGCTCCAAATTCTCCTCATCTCTCTATCTGACACTGTTCTGTCTTATCCAAAGTCCAGGCATCTTGGTCGTCCTCTGAGAAACATGTTGGGAACTAAGATGTCAGGAAAGCACTGGTAATTAACACAGTACACAATATTCCATCCATCAGATACTGTCGGTAATACAACAATGGAAAAAAAATTTTAATTTGCTCTTGGCATATTGCCTTTTCTTTCATGTCCCTGTTTCTGTGAAAAAGCTTGAAGCCTTTTCTTTGAAGTATTCATTTCTACTGAAAAGCTTAATATGTACAGAAGTGCTCTTAATTTTGAGTGCTACACAAAAGCTTGGTTCTCTTGACACGTATAAAACCCAGGTATTTTTAAAAATAAACTTTCTTTTTTTTTTTTTTTCCAGACAGAAGCAGTGACAACATTGCCCTGGCTATTAGTTGTAGGGCATTTAGAATTCATAACTTCTGTCTTCTACCAAATTCCTGTTTCCTACTGCCTTGTGAACCCCCAGTTCCTTGCTGCCTTTCTTTATTTAACTGACCATTGGTTGAAGTTACATGACATGTTCTGCTGCAGGGCCTGATTATTATTATTATAGATAAATAAAGAGTGTTGACTAAGAATGATCGAATATGTTTTTGATTCATCATGGTGTGCCTTGTGCAGTGTTTATAATTAGTCATACTGTGCAAATCAATTTAATTAAAAAATGTGACAGACTGGTTAATGTAAATCTTGTAAATACAAGATTGTTTTATTGGTGTGTATGTGTGGAAAGTGTTTGTGAATGACGAGGCTCTTGATTAAGTTCTTGAAGAACTCCTCATGTTCGTGTGCCTTTTTGTGCTGATGAATTAGCTTGACTGAAACAGGGCTGGGCTTCCAGCTTTCTCCTCAATTTTTCCTTTGTATGGAAATGCACACAGCTTTAGATTTCTTTGACAGAAGGGTAAACAATTAACACTTACCTTCTGTCTAGCTGTTTCTGAGGAGCTCTTAACAGCCCTTGGTCAAGTGTGTGGCACCAAGTGTGTCAGGGGGACAGCAAACTGGGGAGAAGGTTTCCTTCTTGTTCTCTAGCATTTTATATTCTTACTGATTAATTCAAGGGGCATTTTTTTTTCCTTCCAAGAATGTGTAAAGAAGAAATCAGCTGTTATATCAGGTGTTTATATATTGAAGTTGTTTAAAAACAATTCAGTTACTGCAGTAAAAATAATTGGCTGGTCCTTTATTATTTTGTAAATAAAAGTGAGGCCTTAGAGATATCTTTGAAGAGAAACTTGGAAACCTCTATAAAGACAAGGTTATTCTATGTCATTTTGGAAAATAAGAGGTAGAAGGAAGAGAAAGTGGCAACAGTGAAAAAAATAAGGTGTTTGAGACTTAGGAATGGTTGAGTTAATGGAAGTAAGTGTTTTTTCTGATAAAGTGGCTATTTTTGCAGTTTCCAAGTTAACTGAAAAAAAACCACAAAATGGGGTGCAGGAATGAATCCTGCCTGTCTTTTTAAGGCTAGTTTGTTTTGTCCTAGATTTACATGCCATAAAAAAGGTGGTTTCCAGTCCTTTGATGCTGGGTAAATAGCTGTTTTCTCATATGAGTAGGAAGAAAAAAAAAAAAAAGAGATCTTACTTTCTCCATCTTTTAGGCCTGACTTCCTGATTTAAAGCCTAGTGAAGTAGAAAGTAAACAGACATATGACTCCTGAAGAAAACTAGAGATAAACTGAGTTTGGAGTTCAGTTAGTGTATGTATATTCCAACATAGTCCTGTGAGGGATAGGGAGTTGGAATTAATGTCCTTTATGGATTTCTTCTAATTTGAGATATTGTATGATCTAGCATTGACTATATTATGTATTTTTAAATGAGTTCTTAGAAAAAGCTTTTGACATAGATGATTAATATTGAAAGTATGAAAAGCTATACAAAATATGATTGTGTGTCTTGATGAGTAAGTACACTGAATTTTTTTTGTTGTAATGTTTCTGCAGAACAGGATGGGATATTTTAACTGAATTTTCCTGATCTTCTTTCCCAAGAAATAAATATTTGGAACCTATTTCCCAATTAAATCTTACTGTTTCATGCAGGGAAAACATGAATATAAAAGCAAAATTCTATATCCTTTCTTGTCATAAATATATAAGATATACACCTACCTTGCCCTGAACTTCTCAGCTATAAGAAAATCAGAAATAACAATGAAATAGTGGCAATCTGTAAAGGAAAATATGCTAAAATAATATATTTACTTGATCTATTTCCTGATACAAAATACATGTAAGTTGAGGGGAAGCTTTCTCAAGGCAGTGGCTGTGGAACGTAAAGTTATGTACAATTCATTATACTCTAAATCACAGTAATGAGCTTCATGGACAGTTTGGATAGTGTATGGGGAATGAAACAATTAATAAATTGTTAATAAATCTGTTCATGAAAGAAGATTGCAAATCTAGAGTTCAGCCATGGTGACTGGCTTCAATTTCCTTTTCATTTCATAGGTAAAGATATCAAGTCTTAATTCCTGATTGTAAAGCAGAAACATCACTCAGTGTGGTGTCATAAATATTTACATTTCCCATATCATGATATAATTGTCCTAATAGTCCTTGTTCAAGCTGCTGTTTAAGACAGTTGCATATCAGATGATGTTTTGTGCTAGTAATTATACCTATAGAACCCAGTGGGTAAATGTGGGTGTGTTTAAGTGTAATGGTTTGTCTGATAATCAGTTTGCAGGTGGTGTGAAAAGGAAAACCCCAAAATGACCCAGTGCCCTCAAGATACACAGTTGTTCTCACTCCATCTCCTGAGAGTCTCACTCCATCAGTAAGAGAGCTCAGTTCAGCTGTGATTGTTTCAATACACAGGATGACTAATGGTTGTGGGGGGGGGAATCAATCATAGGGGTTATGTAAGAATATTGTTCCTTTTGTTTTGTCTTTTAAATTTTTTTTTCTTTTTAAGTGTTTAACTGCCTTGTTACTAAAATTACCCACCCCTTTGTTCCCTCGGGGGAATGTTGCTTTCATCCCAGTTTTCATATAGAAGCTCCCACGTAGATGAGACAAGACTGAAATAAGCAAAGCTTTCCTGCTAGGAATACCTCAGGAACTTCTTTTTCTTCCCTAAACCAGTGGATTGAGGAAGGGGGGGAGAGTTGTTAGTACAGGCTTTTATGCAGTGCTGGTACCTTTGATGTATGTTTAATAGTAATTTTAGGAGTGTTTTTCAGAAAGAAAAAAAATGCCCATGTCCCTAAAGTTATGGGGTATTTTTTATTATAATAGGTGTCTTTTATATGTAGTAGGTTGCATTTTATTAGGCATTTGGAAACATGTTGTGAGCTGGCATAGTTTTTAACCACAGGGACCTTGAAATAAAATCTTGCTGTGTAAGCTGAATGTGCTGTTGATACTTTTCCCCTGTCACCTCTGCATTAAGTCAACAGGAAGAAATGTGTACCAACACCTCCGTTGCCTGTGTGTCATTGCCCAAGTCTATCTGCACCAGCCCCTGAAGCATCAAACTTGGTTATTACTACATTTTGTACAGAGGGCAAGTCACTCTTATGGGTGTGGGGGATCCTGCAAGGACCAAGAATGTCATTCTCAGTCCTGTAGCTGATCTGCATGACTCCTTCAATAATAGGGAAATGGAGATGCTGACACAGTAAGCATACCTGTAAGCCGGGAAGCTGCTCCAGTCAGGTGTATTTTTGTGTGTTACATACTTCTTGTATGTTTTGAAATGCCTATTTAGGGAGTTGAAAAATTGTGATGGCACTAACTACTGTCCACTTTCTGTGGCAATGTGTGTTCTGTTATGTAGTGTTTGTGGGAGGCGTAGGTGGGTGGGATTTGAAGAATCAAGCTGTTTCTCTTTATGGAATAAAGTAGTAGTGCCCATATAAAGGCCAGAAGGCAAACTACTGAGCCAAAGAACATCTTGTGTTAGACCTTTTTTCCTTACTCTTTTGTCCACGCCCTGTAGTACAAAACGTCTCCAACTGCAGAGAAATGTCATCGTGACAGCTTCCGTGTACGCCCAGAGTCCAAGGTGTAGCCGAGAGGCAGGATGTAGCCAGGAGGAAATGCATCCTAGAGGTGGGCTCAGGACTCAGTTCAGAAATGGTGTCCTCCTGCAAAATGCTTCTGTTTTGGTTGGGTGTTTTGTGCTTTTGCTGGAGAGGGAAGAAGGGTGCAGCTGAGCCTTCAGGTGGTGCTGTGTTCTTCTCTATCTGCTGTGATCCTGGCTCACTGGCCTGAGATGTGCAAGAACAGAGCTATCCTGCCAGCTGAGCATGACCCAGGACTCCTCTGTAAAGAGGCTGCTGTGGCAGTCAACACAGTTTGTGTCACGAATTCTGACACTTCTTCAGTTTTGTTCCCTGTGTCGCTGAGGTGATCACGTACCTCTGTATAACTCAGTTTTCAGTGAGGCACCTACAGACCTGTCAGCTAATGTCTGTGCCATCTTGTGGTGGCTGATCAGGTTGCATCAACATTCCCTTTAAAAAAATCCAAACAAAAAAACAACCAAAACAAAACAACCCTGAAGTGAGGAAAAATAATGTACTTTTAAATTTATAGAGTGATTCTATCTGGGAGTTTTTCTTTGGTAGCATTTTGAAATGGTGAGCACACACTGAATTGAGGTGGAAGAGGATGAAGATTAAGGTGAAATATCTGGCATGTTGCACAGTGGCATTTGCAGCTGCAGTGAAAGATGACACATTGAGATTTGCAAAACTTGTGAGCAAGCATTCTGGTGTAAATGGCTCAAGAAAGTCCAGAATGCCAACATATGAGGGAGATGAATTAACTAAAACTGCCTGGGCTGTTTGGATTTAGCTCATTTGCGAAGTGTATGTTAAAGGTTCACGCTCTAAAACTGATGGTGTGGTACAGAATTTTCAGAATTTTGTTGTCTCATGTTGTCCACACAAGCTAGAAATTCACATTTTTGTGTTTTCACACGTGGAAAAGAGTGTTCCAACCTTTGCCTGTAATTGTGGGTGTATGCATTCCTAATGCAAAAGGTATGTGCTGCCCAGGAAGGTGATTAAGGGGGGTGGGGGGCGGTGGCTCACACGACACCCAGCACATGCAAATGTAGAAGAGGACTCATCCTCATTGTTTTAGGTTAGGCTAAAATTTCTAAACATGAATGAGCAGAGCAGCTGAGCAAAAAGCAGGTTCATGCCTGGAGCCTTCCAGGCTCCTTTTCACTCAGTGCTCATCTGCTTGTGCAACCACAGCTGCATTCTCCCGCTGCCTGGAGAGGAGGAAGGAGCAGCCCCTGCTGCCGAGGTGGCTCCAGCTCTCCACGAGCGAGCAGGAGACAGCGTTCCCAAGGCCGGCTGGCTGCAGCTGAGGAGACAGCACTCATAGACCATCCTTTGATTAGGATGTGTCCGTGTTGTCAGGGCAACTGTTAACAGCGGCGTATCATATTTTCTCCTCTTGTAGTGCGTGCTGAATATTTTAGCGCGCTGTGGCTGGAAGAAGGTTGCAGGGAAGAAAGTGCTGCTGCAAGGAACCTGGAGCTGTGGTCTGGGATCTGATTGAACAGGTTAAGACAGTAAAGAGGAGCATCCGACCCAATGTGCCTTTAATTAGGGCTTTTCTTCAAGGAGGGGAACGACTGCGAGCCTCTCGCTGCCGACTGGATGTTGGTGTTTGTCAGCTGTTTGCATACTGCTTATCCATAGGGGATCTGTTACAAGTGCTCAAATGAACAGACAGCGCTGCAGCTAGTGCCTAATCAGAGGCTGGAGTTTCCTACTTTTTTTTTTTTTTTTAATAAGCAAGAGGCAACAGCAACATGCCTGGTTCAACTACTGCCCTCCGACAAGAGAGACTGAAGAAAAGTGCCAGGCCAAATCCCCCAGGTTTATTCACCATTAATGAAGAGGATGAGCAGCAAAAAAATGGGAATTCCACAAGACTGAACGGTACGTTGCTGTTCTGCAGTGTGATGAGGGCTGCCTGTGGGTTACGCTGCACGGCAGGCACAGCAGCGTTTTATTAGCTCTTCTGTGTGCTACAGAGAGTCTGTAAGTGGCTGGTGCAGTTTGGCAGTTCATGTTGGCACTCACAAATGTGCTGTGCATGATAGGTGTATTTGAATCCCCTGGCTTGTTATGCAATCGGCAGCTTTGGCTAGGAAGGAAAAAAATACTTTTTAGTTATTAATCGCATTTCTTCTGGTAGGGATAATGGTTCTGCATCAGGAATATATCAGTGACTTCCTGTGTGTTTACTTTGGTTTCTGTTTACAGTCTGGGTAAATAACTGTTAGAAGCAAGGGGAGGCTTGGAGAGTGCAGAATGCAATGCCCGCCTGTTACAGAAGACAGCTTTGCCAAAGACAATGTGAAGCTGTCCATACTTCCATTCATGTGCAGGAGGGGCACTGTGCCTTTGGCAGAGTATAGAAAAATACACATTGTTCAAATATGCTGACTTTTATGAGTATGATGACAAAACAAAGCAGACAGAAAACCCAAACACAAACCCAACATACTGTTAAAGAAAAATATTTATGGTGCTTAAGGTAGGTAAGTAGTGGTGGCAGAGGGATGCTGATGGCCATTGATTTATAGCAGGTCTGTCAAGCCTGTGTAGCCACTGTCTGTCTTGCTTCATGTAATTCCTGTTTCCTGCATGGATGGTAGTATTTAAATTATCTTAATCTGGCAGGAATTCTGCTGCTTACACTTGTGACTGTAATTTTTATTTATTTAATTTGTTTAGTGCTCAAGTGATTCTGTATGTCTGAGCACTCCTTTTGGGGGCAGGGAAGGGGTGGATTGTATCAGTTTTTGTTTACAAAACAAATTTTAGTTTATACCCTCAAGACACAGTTTTAAATTTCAGTTATTACCATTCTACCATGTAACAGGAGAGGCTAGAAAGCATTTAAATAGCAAATTTATAGTATGTGTATTTATTAGAGCTGAATAATTTACAACTAACTGATTATTTTCTTTTTCTGAAGGAAAACAGTAACTAGCTTGGTAGCTTTTACAAACTCAGAACTCAAATTTTGTTTGTTGGGGGCTTTTTTGAGTTTGCAGCTTGTATTTTTTTTTCTCAGAATGGTAAAAAACCTAACTGGTTAAAGCTTCATGATAAAATATATACTGCTAGTCATTGTTAATGTGCCTATTGTGTTAGGGTCTTGTGTACACAGTTACCTGCTCTTCTGTGTATTTGAAACTGCCCATGTAAAATGGAGATCCAAATTCTAGTGTGAGCTTATTTAGTTCTTAATGTTTTAAGAAGAATATTACTTTCCTTTATCACCCACTGGATGGCTTCCAGAGTCAACAGTCCATAAAGCTAAAAATCAATAATTTGCCTGGTTTAGTTAAATGGCACTGCTAGTTTCCCAATAGTTTGTTGACTTAGCTACTCTTTTCTACTTGCAGGAGCTATACAGATGTGCTTATCCTTTGTCTGTCTTGTTTTAACTGAGATTTGATTTTTGATTATTCCTTTATTTTCTCTTGTTGCTGTGAAATGTGAGTAGATGAATGTGCACAGTAGCACAGATAGCAAGCAAGCAAGTTCACGTGGTTTTAGGAAGAAAACACTTTTTCAGCTTACTTGGACTGCTCCTGGTGAGAAATAACATAGTAAATGGTACAAAATATTCTGGAACTATATTAATTTGCTTTTCATTTTACTAGGTAATTAAAATAGCTCCTAGTGTCTCTAGAGCAGCACACCATTTGCACAGTGGTAGGTGTGGGATAGCTACGTTTGTGCATTTGGATGTTATCAGTCATTGGGTGGGTTAGGCTGGCATGCCTGGTAATGGGGAATGCAGGTACTCAGGGTGCTGTTCTTCTCACCTGGTACCAGCTCTGACCCACGTGGGGCTTTCGTGAGTCTTTAGTGTCTCTTGTTCTCTTGCTGCTTTACAGGGTTTGCCTTGTCTTAGTTCTTTACCTGTTGTTTTTGCTCAGCAAGCACTTGCAGCTGCTGAGATGTTTCCTTTTTATTTATCCTTTCTCTCCAGCACATTCTAAGTTAGTGTCATCTTTGTGGGAGATGGGCTAAGTATTGTCTTCATCTGCAGTTTCTGTTATCATGCTGAACCTGTCTTTGTACAGCAGTTCAAAACCCAGGAGACCTTTAATGGAATTGATACTCCTAAGTAAAGAAGTTCCTTCCTCCATTAAGAATACTTGAGTATCATCACAAGGTTTAAAATAATCAATATTTTCAATAGTTCAGGTCTTCTCAGAGTACTAAGGCTTGATTAGACTTTTTATAAGAGTTGATTTTGTGATTTGGGAAACAGTTATGTGGACCTTTAAGTAGGTGGCATTTGCGAGGTTTTCTGTAAATTTATTTTGGTGTTGGCCATTCCTTTGCTTGTCTGGCTGTCTGCATTGTAATTGAAAGAGTCTGATAAAGCAAAATGAGTTTGCTTCTCCAGTGTAAAGAAATAATTACAATGTTAATGATTTTTCTTTTCTGTCTGAAGATACTAAAAGCCTGCAATAGCCTTTATAGCCATGTGCTCCTGATATTTCCTTTCCTTTCATGTGAGCTGTATTTACTGCTTTTTCAAAAAATATTTTAACTTCCTTTCCTCCTCTTGGTTTTGGCACAAGGCCTGCCTGTTTGTTATATGTCTGTTGCAGGGTCTTGAGATGCTGTTGTGTAGTAGAAGAGTCCAAGTAAAAATTACTTTGAATATAATTTTTTACCTTTCTTAAAGGTATTTATTCTCCTTTCCTGTTATACAGGAATTTTGCTACATACTGCACTCTTCAAATACAGTTTCTATGGGTTTGCAGAAACTTATTTTGCACTTGAAATGCTTTTTGGTTTAGTTCCCAGCTTTTCTGCAGTTCTGTTGTTATATTCACAAAGATACCTGACAAAACAGGAAGAGAACCACACACTTAACAGCCTTAATGTTTCCTTAAAGCTTGTGTAGTAGAACAGATATTGTTTCTGTGACTGAAGTGTGTGTATGTGGTTCTGTATGTAAATCACAAAGATATGACCTTGGATAGATTGGTGTTTAATTACAGGTACCCATCCTGTGTGTGTGAATTTCAGCCTCAGCCATTCCTTGAATTCAGGCACAAACAATTCCATCTGCCTCAGGATTTTCTTCCTCTGCTCTGTTAATTTTGTGCACCTTAGATGTAGTCTTAAACTGTTGTCTTACTCAATTTTATGAAATTTTAAAATGATGCCTCCACCCTTTCCTCTTAGAAGGAAGAGCTTCTCAACTGTTGATAATGTGTTTCTAAAACTGTAATTCTAAAACATAATGGAAAAGCAATGATCATGCTTATGGGTAATGGATTTGAATACTTAATAACTGAAATAATTATGACATTTGTGACAAATTAATGAGAAGTCTCAATTTAGCAATGGAATCCTTCACTATCCTGCTTATTTAAAACTGATCAAGGGAGGGTACCTATAATCTGCTGAATATTGCTAATACAAATCTAGATGTGCATGCCTTAGCTTTCTGAACAGTAGCACTGATTCTCTGTCATCTTGAGAACAAGAGAAGGGCTTTTTTCAGTCCTTTGGTGAATGACAGTGATGTCATTGATCACCAGGAGATTTTGCTACTGTTGTGTGGCTGGTAATGTTTGTGCATACTGCTCATTTCAGATTGGAGGTTTGTTCTTCCAGAGAAGTGGAGGAGATTTCTTCTATCATGACTGTTTGGGTGCTTAGTTGCCATTAGTGAAACGTATTTCCTTTTAGACTCAGATTGTTTAACTTCTAGTTCAGTTGTTGTCTATTACTGTGTGTCTGTACCCAAAGCAAACTTAAATACCTGAAAGAAAAGGGAACCTGGCATCTTCAAGGGCATTAAACTGATAGTCCTGGAAACTGAAACTGTATACTTACAAAACAGGTATTGCATGGGGTGTGGAAGTGTAATTTTATCCCACGCTGCAGAGTTTGTGCCTCAGGCAGGAACCAGAATGCAACTGAGTCTCTGGCTTTCACCACACTTTAAACCAGCAAAACTGCCTGGCATGGTGGTTCTCCGTGGGGCCTCTCAGTGCTGGTCAGGAGACTGACCTCCAGTTTCTTTGGGTCAAAACAGTGAGCAATTGTTACAGGCTGAGGAGCTGGCTTACCAAAATCAAGTACTGGAGGGTTTTCTAAGAATATGTAGCCCTATCTTGCCCATCTGCACTTGAGGCAAAGTGAGTGGAAAGAGTGGATGGAAAGAAGGAAAAGGAACCAGTTCTCATTACGATGCTGGCAGTGTAAAGGGGTAGGGCTGAGAACCTGGACAGCGTGGTCTGGTGTCCTGCACTTTCCAGTGAGTCCTGCTAATGTTCCTGTGTGCTTCCTTTCTTTCTGCTTGCCAAGACCAGGAGAAGAGGGGTCCAGAAGTATCTGTGATTCTTCTGGACATTTATTTACAGAATCACAGAAAAAGGTGAGTTGGAAGGAACCCACAAGGATCATTAGATCGAGCTTCTGGCCCATCACAGGACCATTCCTGAGAATCACAGCACGTGCCTAAGAGTATTGTCCAAACATTTCCTGAACTCTGTCAGGCTGGTGCTGTGACCACTTCCCTGGAGAGCCTGTTCCAGTGCCCAGCCACCCTCTGGGTGAAAAACCTTCTCCTGTTATCCAGCCCAAACCTTCCCTGACATGTCTTCAGGCTGTTCCCTCAGGTCCAGGTCTCGGGTCATGAGAGAAATCAGTGTCTGCCCCTACTCTTCCCCTCACAAGGCACCTGTAGATTGCAATAAGGTCTTTAAAAATGCCTCTCAAAGAATCTGGGAGGTACATGCTTTAAAAAGCCCTACATTCAGTGCTTACAGTGCAGCTGTTGGGGGTACAAAAGGAACTTGTATTTTTTTCAGGAAACTGCTGCCTCTGTTTTGTAGGGAGTCCCCATTCATAGCTGTAGGTGCCAGGTAGCAGGAAACATCCCATTTTTA